CTCCCTCAGTTTTATGGTATCCTAGAGAGTTCTTTTAAAATCTTACTCTCCTATCATAGCTTCATAATTCCTTATGTTAAAATTCTCCTGTTTAAATCGCTGTGTGGACCCAGACTGACAATCACAATGTTTTGTTATTTGATCATACTCATGGGTAGTATCTGCTAACTGTGCATCTTCGCTTGCTTGTAATTTTCCTTCTAGTTTAATTGTATTATATTAAAGAATTCCTACTCATTGCAATTTATTGATATGCTTATAACACAATGTACGGTTAACTTTTTAAAAATATTTCCAGCCCTGGCCGGTTTGGCTCAGAGGTTAGAGCGTTGGCCCACGGACCAGAGAGGCTTGGGTTCGGTTCCCGCTAAGCGCAGGTACCCCAGTTGCAGTGTGTCCCCGACCCTGGTTGGGGTCGTGGGGGTGGCAGCCACTCGATGTCTCTCTCTCACATCGATGTTTCTCTCTCTCTCTTCTTCCCTCTCTCCCTCCCGCTCTGTCTGAAGATAAATGCAAAAAAAAGTCCTCGGGTGAGGATAAAAAAAATAAATAAATAAAATAAAAATAGGCAAGATTCCAAAATGGTAGTGGAGTGACTGGAAGCTACAAAGACCGTCTACCAGGGCCACATTGGAATTACAACTAACATAAAGACAAATCATTGGGAAAAAGCAACTGAAAAGCAGCTTGCGAGGACCATATAACCAGGGACACTGACTCGATCAGGTAGGATTGCAGAGGTGCGAGAGGGGGGCTGGGAGCCCACGGTCAGCAGCGGCCTTAGCTGTGGGCAGCCCTCGGGTTGAACTCCCAAACGGCTCCACAGCGCAGAGCAGGGACAGATGCTAAAATAGCCACAGCCACTCACCTGGGGCTGCGGCTCAGGGAGGGCAGACTGGACTGGAACTGTGTGGGGACACACGGGATTTGGAGGACACTCAGAGCTTTTGCTGAGTTGTAGCCACACAGGACGGTGGCCATCCTGCTCCTTCCCAGGGCTCTGGGGAGAGGCAGTGGCCTCTCCCTTGGAGATTCAACTCCACCCTGTGGGCCATTGAAATGCAAATGTGGCCCATTAACAACCAGCATCTGCCCCACCCTCGGGAAATCCCCTTATACTGAGCACCTGAGGGAGTTTTTCATTCAACTGAGAACCCAAGGCTCTTCAAGTAACCACTACTGATAGCCTCCAGGCAAAAAGCAAGAGGATAACTGAACCTTTCCTGGGCTTGCAACTCTACCCAGGAAAATAAGACTTGACAGTGGTGTTTAACGTGGGTCCCCCATGCTCATCCAAACCCAGTAGAGGGAGCCACAAACAGCAGAACACTAACACCCATAGGGAAAATGTGGCAGGCTTCAAAACCCAGAGATAGCCAAAATGGTGAAACAAAGAAACAAATCCCAAATGAAAGAACAAGAGACCTCTACTGAAGATGAGATAAATGAAATGCAGTTAAGCAAGTTAACAGAGCTAGAATTTAGAGCCATGATCTTGAGGAAGCTCAACAGTATGTGTAAGGACATCAACACCATGAGTAAATACATAGAAACATTGAAAATCAACCAACTGGAAATGAAAAACCACCAAGAAGAAATAAAGAATGACATATCAGAAATAAAGAACACATTGGAAGGACTAAACAGCAGAGTGGAGGAAGCTGAGGACCGGATCAGTGAATTAGAAGACAGGGTAGAAAAAAAATCAACCAATCAGAAAACCAAAAGGAGAAAACAACTAAAAAACAGGAAGACAGCTTAAGAGAACTGTGGGACAACTGGAAATGTAATAATATTCGCATCATAGGAGTTCCCGAAGAAGAAGAAAATGAGCAAGAGTTAGAGAATATAGCCCTGGCCAGTTTGGCTCAGCAGTTAGAGCGTTGGCTTGCGGTCCTGAGAATATATTTGAAGAAATAGTGACAGAAAACTTCCCTAATTTGGTGAAGGAAGAAGTCATTCAAGTTCAAGAAGCACAGAGAGCCCCAAGTAAGAAGAACCCAAACAGGCCCACACCAAGACACATAGTAATTATAAAATGCCAAAAATTAAAGACAGAGAATCCTAAAGGCAGCAAGAGATAAACAACAGTTTACCTACAAAGGAAACCCCATAAGGCTCCCAGCTGACTTCTCAACAGAACCATTACAGGCCAGAAGGGAATGGCACGAAGTAATCAAGGTCTTGAAAAACAAGGATCTGAATCCAAGACTACTCTACCCAGCAAGGCTATCATTCAAAATAGAAGGTCAAATAAAGAGCTTCCCAGACAAAAAAAAAAGGCTAAGGGAATACATTAGCACCAAACCAGCACTGCAAAAAATGTTTAAAGGACTGCTGTAATTAGTAGAAGAAACAGGAAGAAAAATAAAACCACACTAAACAAAATGGCAATAAATAAGTACATATCAATAATCACCTTAAATGTAAATGGACTGAATGCTCCAATAAAAAGACACAGAGTAGCTGATTGGATAAGAAAGCATGACTCATATATATGTTGTTTACAAGAGACCCACCTCACAACAAAAAAATTCACATAGGTTGAAAGTGAAAGGATGAAAAAAAATCTTCCAAGCAAACGGAAAGGAAAAAAAAGCTGGGGTAGCAATACTCATATCTGATAAAATAGATTTCAAAATGAAGGCCATAACTAGAGACAAAGAAGGTCACTACCAAATATTGAAAGGATGTATCTAACAGGAAGATATAACCACATAGGTAGATACAGAGAATTACACCCTAAAGCTACAGAATTCACATTCTTCTCAAGTGCACATGGGACATTCTCAAAGATAGACCACATGGTAGGACACAGACTAAGTCTCTACAAGTTCAAGATTGAAATTATATCAAGCATCTTCTCAGATCACAATGGCATAAAATTAGAAATCAATTAAAACAAAACATGCAAAGACATTTGAACACATGGAGGCTAAATAGCATGTTATTAAACACTGAATGGGTTACCGAGGAGATCAAGGAAGAAATGAAAAACTTCTGGAAACCAATGAAAATGAACATACAACAACAGTGAACCCTTCTTTGTCCTGTTAAAGGTTGTGTGTGTGTGTGTGTGTGTGTGTGTGTGTGTGTGCGCGTGCACGCACGCATTCTTTAAACCTTATATTTAACATAGGAAGACAATTAGAAAGAAAATATGACATATGACAATAAAATTAAGACCAAAGGTAAGTTCAACAATAAATCCAATTGGAATATATTTACCTATTAAAAGAAAACCTTGGAATGTGGCAAACACCAAAACTTTGTCTATAAGATACGTATGTGAAAGAGAGTGTCCTAGAAATGTACCTGTGACGAATCCTTCATCTGTCCTTCTTAAACTATTTTTTAAACATTAGTTGCTGTAAGTATAATTATTATTCTATATGTAATATAGGAAATCTATGCATGCACATAGAAAGTACACATTCAGGCTGAATGGCGCCGTCTGGAGCCTTGTATCTAAGAGCACGTGGTATGGGCCAGTCCTCCTCCTCTCCCACCGGAACCTCGCCTGTGTCCAGTCTTGTGAGCACGCTAGCCATCAGGGGCCAGCCCTCAGCTCTGAGCTGAGCAGCGGGTTCGTGTTGCTCTTTCCCTGTAACTTCATGCAAAGTTCTACACCAGAGATCCTCCCTGGGGCCCGGGGTTGTTCCGTGTCATGTGAGCCCACCGCCACATTTCTGTGACTGCTCTGTCCCACCTGTTATTACTGAGTATTAGTACCGACTGGTCTGCCCTTCCTACCGTTTCTCAGCTGAACCAAACCCCTACCTGACGGATACAGTGAGGCCTAGAGAGTCAGGCATCCGAACTGCAGAGCAGGGGACCCTGGCAGCCAGAGAGAACTGAAGCCAGCTGTCTGCCTCTGTGAAGGGCAGAGGCCACCAGGGACATGTTCCCTGGGGTCACCTGCATCCCTAGTCCTTGGATCCCCAAATCTGGAGAGGTTTTCAAGGGGTTCTATGGAATGCCATCAACAGACCCTCTGACTGACTGCTCTGTGCATGGGTGGGAGTTGTATCTGTGCAGTGGGTCCTTTTCTTTATCCTCACCTGAGGACATGTTTGCTTTTATCTTCAGATAGATTGGGAGGGAGAGAGGGAGGAAGAGACAGAAACATCGATGTGAGAGACACATCAACTGGCCGCCACCCACACAACCCCAGCCGGAGCCGGGGACAAACTGCAACCAATACGTGCCCTTAGCAGTGATTCTCCACCTTCCTAATGCCACGGCCCTTTAATACAGTTCCTCATGTTGTGGTGACCCCCAACCATGAAATTATTTTCGTTGCTACTTCATAACTGTAATTTGCTACTGTTATGTCTTAGGCGACCTCTGTGAAAGTGTCGTTCGACCCCCAAAGAGGTCGCGACCCACAGGTTGAGAACCACTGCCTGCGGAAACCGAACCCAGGACTCTCTGGTCCGCGAGCTGATGCTCTAACGGCTGAGCCAAACGGGTCAGGGCAGTGGGTCCTCTTTAAGTAGATCCAAACTCCAAGTTTCTGTTGGGTTCTTTGCCTGTATCCAGTGGTCTTGTGTAGGCTCACCTGTTTTCACTGAAATTCACTTATTTCATCTACTTCTGTGGAGACTGAGGGGACATGCTCTAGGTCTGTGCCTCTACTTCTTCATTTCTTGGCATGGGAGCCCCGCATGCCAAGCATAAGCCTGAACACTGTTTTGAGAGAGAACTGATCCCCATCACAAATGCTTCCCTTCCTGGGATTCATTTCTTGCATTTCTTTTAAACCTCACATTGATTAAGAAGAAGCTGAGATTCTGCCTTACTTAAATATCTAAGCCACCTGGTTTTTAAATAAAGTAGAAATTTAGTCATTCCAAGCCAAATGATCTTCTGAAATTTCTTCTGGCTCCGGTTTTGAAAGAAATTAAAAAAGCATGAAGACTCAAGACATCATGAAATTCAAATAAAATTACTTCCACCTCAGCAATGTTCTGAAACACACACAACAGGTGAGCTCTTACCAGTGGGACGAGCAGGCTGATGAGGTCTGTCAGAGGCTTGCTCAGCAGCAGCAGGTCCTCTGCGGCCTGAGTGTCCCCCCCGGAGCCAGACTTCTGTGCCTTGAGAGGGGGAGGAGAGAAGGGGTCTCAGGTTAGTCAGCTCGGCCCTCGGAGGCAGCTCCCCTCAGCTGAGCAGATAAAGACGGCAGGGGAGGTGTTCCCCCTCGGCCCCCTGAAGAGCAGTGGCACTTTGTTATAACATGACAAAGGGCACACACTGCCACCGCCACCAGCTCGGGCTGCAGAGGTAGACCTAGACCTGGGAGGTGCACAGAGAAGCAATGACAAGGGCTGTCACTGGGGGAGTGACAGTGACGTGCACATGCCGCGGTGGACAAGCACCTTCTTTCCAACCAGCCTGAAACCAGGTGCTCATATCCCCATTGTTCAGATGAGAAAGTCCTGCATAAACTGGGTGACAGAACTGGAGGACGAACCAAGGCTGGGTGACTCCAAACCACACCCACGCCTCACTCCCAGGCTTCTCTCTGCACATCAGAGTGCACCGGACGCATTCTGCTATGATTCCCTTCTCTATGTGCACACGATGGCCCCGATGACAACCAGAATGTTTGTCCTACTGCACGAAAAGCCTGCAGAGAACGCCTACATGGCTTAGAAAGTATAGGCCGCAACTGAAATTAGAATAAGAAATGAGAAGTGAGTCCTTTCATTTTAAGTGTGCCTTCTCCTGGGAGCTTCACAGAACTGACTGACTCTAGAGGTTTAACACAGGGATGAATAATTTCATATTGCAAAAGGCACTGATTATTTACTGCGTTTGCTACAGAACATACACATTTCATTCACATACTTCCTCCCTGTGTTTAATTTCACTCAGAAGAAATCAAACTGCTTTCAGGTAACGACGTTGGCCGGAGCCGAGAGAGCAGGCCGGAGCCCAGAGAGCAGGCCGCAGGCTGCCCACCTCGGGCCACACCTGGACTCCTGGGACCGCTCACGAACACCGATTTCCCTTCTGCACGACAGGCCCGTGCATGGAATTTGAGTTGCCTGCTTTGTTTGGTTCAGAAGAACTTGAATGAAAAATCAGATGCCTGCCTTTTAACAACTTGCACTGTAGGGGAACGGTGTTAAGAGTTCCTTCCGGAAAACCACAGGTAGTGCTAGCCCAGAGGTCGGAACCTTTCTGGATCTTGGTCGTTGATTTCCGCCTTCCAACACTGTTGGAGGTAGAGTATGGGCCTTTCGCATTCGCTAGCCCACGGTCTGGACGCCACCCAGTGCTACGGTCTAGGCGAGAGAGATGGCAGACTGAGCTGGCAGCAGCAGGGTCTGAAAGAAGTGGTTGGACTTGGTCAATATTCAAGGTAAAAACCTCCATTATTTTGTGACAGAGCAGATGAGGAAAGAGAGGAAGAAGGAAGTGTTAAGACCGACTCCCAGGCTGGTCGTTGGTGCAGCAGGACGAGGTGCGGTGCTTGCTGGTAGGGGGCTGCTTTGGGGAGCAAATCCTGAGTTCAGCTTTGGACATGTTCAGTCTCATGTGGGTCATGCAACATTCTAACGTGGAGGAAGTGGACAGACGTACTGTGCATGTAGCTCAGAGGAGAACTCTACGTGGAAATATAAATTTCACAGTCTCAAATATGTAAAACCCGGGAATGTCAACTTTTGAACCATATGCAATGCTAAATGGCAATACAGCATTACCCAAACTGAGATCAAGGCATACGGCTGACTTCTCGGCATACAAACAGCCAGGGAGCACACAATCCTGCTACATCTAGTGTAGCTACAGAATCCCGTGCCCTGGAGGTACCCAGCAAGAGGTAAGTAAACACAGAGCCAAGGCATCTGCAGGGAACAGGACACAGATGTCCCAGCAGGTGGAAGCACACAATGAGCACAGCTTGCTGAGTGTGACCCAGACCAGCTCCCCACTCACTGTGCTCCCCGAGCACCGCCGGGCACACGCTCGCGGGGCACAGAGGACATGGTGCATTCCCCACGCTGCAGGAGCATCAGGCTTAAGGAAAAGAAGACGAGCATCAAAATAACTGCTAAAGGCAGAGTGTGACGGCTGCCGGGGGTGGAGAGAGTTGAAGTGGTGGGGAGGGGGAGAAGGTAACAGGGGACTTCGTGGTGTGGAGGGGGAGAGGTCCACAGGAAGAGCGTGTCTCGGGAAGGCATGGGAAGCTGACTGGCATGGGGACGGGCAGCCTGAGGACTGCAGACGGGGCCACAAAGGCACCTGGGCTGGGCTGTGCGAGGCCTCGAATGTCTCACCGGGGAGTTAGAAAATGACCGTCAGTAAAATGCTGAAGACTTCTAAGGAAAGGAGAGACCTGAGGAGGACCACGGGCCGTGGCAGACAAGTCTCGCTTGAATTCAACTACCAGACAGAGGGCAGCTCACGGGGAATAACAATGAGGGACGCCGCAGAGGAGTCAGGCTGGGTAATGCCGAGAGAGACTAAACGAGAGACCAGAGCCGCCCCGCAGACTCTGGTGTGTGCCTGCCAGGGTGTGTGCCTGCCAGGGTGTGTGCCCAAGCTGGACTCAGCGCCACATCCCGTCCGAGGCGATCCCAACACTGTAAATCAACAGTGACTGGACCACCCTGCAGGAGAGTCGTCCACCCAGCCCTCCATCATCTCAGAAATGACCAGCAAGGCCCAGGCTGGGAAGCCCAGTGAGTGGGCTTCAATACTGAACCTCTGCCTTCCCTGACCCACACCCACTCCACAGCACCCTGTTCTTTCAGCGGCCGCGTTCGCGCAGTGGTGAGACGAGGACCCGAGTCACTGCTCGGGTACTGACGGTCTTCCCTACCAAACTGAAGCTCCCCGGGGCGAACACTCTTTCTTCTGTGACCCCTGATGAAATTACAGGTGCCCAGCCCTGGGCTAGGCTCGTACGTGCAAAGCAAAACCACAAGTTAGCATCTCCTGGGCCTCTGGGAGTGAGATTATTCAGTAAATAGTCCTGTGGGCCAAGAGATACGGAAGTCACCGCCCACAGGAGACCCTCTGTAAACAGGAAGTTGAGGTGAGCACCTTTCTTCTTGTTGCTGTTGATGAAAAAGCAGCCCTTTATCACTTACCTCCCCTGGCCAGGCATATGACAGGCACTTCATAATTACATATATGTACACATCTGTCATTCTCTCATGGATGTCCCCAACAACCCTGCAGAGGAGTGAGCACATCTTCTTACAGATGAGGAAACTGAGGCTCATACAGGTGCAGTCACTTGCCCAGGGTCTCACAGGTGGGCCCAGAATTTGAACCCAAGGCAATCCAGGCTGCGAGGTCCCCGCGCCCCACCACCGCAGGAAGTCCCTGCTTCCACATCTTTCACACACAACCCTCAGGGGTTCATTTAAGCCAGGAACAATTCTGAAGCAAAAGGCAGGTTGGGGTAAGGGACCGACTCCTAAGGGAGATTCTGACACCTGCCTCGCTCCACCCCTACTTCCCAGGCACACATTCCTGCATCATGTCACTCTCCTCCCTGACGACGAAAAGTGCTTCATAAGTCTCAGTGCTACTGTCATTTTAAACACTGGCCACCCTCCCCCCCCCTCAACTCTTCTGCTGTAGAGATGTTCCTGTTAGAAGATTGTGAATGGGGAAGAATCAGCAGTGTGGAGTGTTGATCGCCGGAGAGGTGACCGTGTTCTAGAGCATGTACAGCTCCGTGTTCTAGGAGACAGCGGCTTTGAGGCACACCCCGTTTCTTCTCCCCACCTTTCCCCAGCTCAGCCTCTGGGGTTCCACCTTCCAGACTGACACCAGTTCCCGGGAGATCCAAGTCGGGAGCGAAGCCGAAAGCAGGACGTGGCAGAAATGACGGGAGGATTTAGAAAGAGGGCAGCAGCAAATAGGCGGTGGCGCTGAGGAAGATGGAAACGTTAAAACCTGACCTACTAGTCCACTGGCAAATACAGAGGATTAGAAAATATTTGTTAAGCAGTTTTCTTTTAAATATTTTTGAATATCTACCTAGTAATCACTTCTAATAAAAAAAGAATTTCTATTGTTCTGGAATTTTTCAACATCTGATCCCTTTTATCTACAATATACAAAACATATCTTCTGCAGATTGAGACCATCAGCGCATCTGGCGAGCGTGACCAGTGATGGCATCCTGAAGGTTCACAGGAAACCACCCCTGTGGAACCTGATGACACAATTACTCTCTGAAAGACACCAGGAACGAGAGGGCGCGCTCAGAGGGTTCCGGAACTCGGGATTCCGCAGGTCCTAACAGCCTCTACTGCTCGTTCAGAACGACCACAGGCGAGCAGAGACCACACAGCTCGGAGGCCACCTCCATGGACCGGCTTTACGAGCCACGCTAGACACTAACCACCACGTTTGTTGAGGAGACCTTGGGATTCCTTAGGAAACCACATTAGATAAGCTAGCACGTGGGCAGCCTCGCTGTGGACAGAGGCTACCATTATCACCGTGATGAGTAACACAGGCTGCCCCGAGTCTAGGGGCTCATTCCTGGCAGCCACGTGGACCCTTGGCAAGGTACCACAACAGTTCGGTCTCCCATCAGCCCTGCCACTATTGAAGCCGACAGGCTATCATCTGACATACATCTCTTGCAAGTCTACCAGGATTTGAAATGTAGCAGTGAGTTCTGATCAGCTGTGTGCTTCCACACTCCAAGCACCAGCTGACTCGGTGGGCTCGACAGGGAGCAGGAAGTGAAGTCGGTCTGCAGAGGCACCTAACGCGGAGTCCCCCTCCTTCCTCACAGCAGGGGACAGTTTGGGGCAAACTAACTGAATACACTTGTAAGTCTCAGAACCATCTGCAATTCCATGTTACTGGTCATAAGGGAAAGCAACTGCTGCAGTTTGCCTGTTGCGTCATATAGGTGTGTATATGTCTATGCAATTGCTACAGTTTGCCTGTTGCGTCATGTAGGTGTGTACATGTCTATACAAACGTGTGCGTGGATGGATGTGTGGGCCGAACATCTCGGTCCACTGTTCCTAGCAAGCTTATCTTTCCTGCTGGGGTGGGCTGGGCCCCGCCTTGGCCAACCCTAGGGCGCCCATAAGCCAATGATCTGAGTCAGGAACGGTTCCCAGAAGTTTCTGCTGAGGCCTCTCCTGCTTTCTTTTCAGATTTTGTGATCACATGATCTGCTCTTGACATTGGTCACCAAAGATGGTTTATTTGGTAGTCTCTCTCTACAGGACATAAGTTCTTTCTAAAGAATAAAGACACATTAGCGGAAGATGAGCGAGACGAGACTGGGAGGTATGGCATGGAGGGGGCTGTGCCAGGTGAGGGACTGCGGTCCTACCTGCAGGGCCAGCCGCACGACACTGGACGTGTAGGTCAGCATACCATGCAGAATGTCCAGCAGGGAGCACAGCAGCGCCGCAGCCGTCTCATCGCTGTTTTTATTGTCCACGTCCCAGCACAGTGTGACTGTTTCGGTGAACAGGTTACAGACATGATGGACCAGTCCTGAGGGTAAAGAGAAGGGCAAAATATTCATCATCAACGACAAAAGCAATGTGCCCCACACACCCGACAGAGCAGGCATGCGGACCCCTCAGGGCAGTCCTCAGCTGCACCGTGTACCAGAGACGTGGGGAAAGTTTCGTGAAATGCCTCACCCAGAGAGGCCGCTCGGGGGCCTGGGCAGGGACTAGGAATATATGTGCTAAGCATGCTCCCTATGTAGTTTTTGTTTGTTTTTTGTTTTCCTTTATTGATTTTAGAGAGAGGGGAAGGGAGAGGGAGAGAGAGATGGAAACATCAATGAGAGAGAACACTGATTGGCTGCCTCCTGCATGCGCCCCACTGGAGATCAACCTGGCCCACATGTGGCCCAACATGGTCCACAACCTGGGCATGTGCCCTGACCAGGAATCGAACCGGCAACCCCTTGGTGCGTGGGTCGATGCTCAACCACTGAGCCACACCAGATGGACTCCCCATGTGGTTTTGATGCAAGCATTTTCCCAAAACACCACTTTGGAAACCGCTGTCCTACATGGACAGGCCGCACCGGGACGGAGGACTCCCCGACCTGGGAGAAAGTGTGGTGCACCTGAACAGGCGGTCCCCAGCTCTCTGCTGGAAGGTCCAGCTCTTCAGGCTTTGGGTAAGGAACCGGCCAGGGGTCCACAAGTAACTGGGTCATTTCAAGACGATAAAGCCATGAAGCAGGGTTTTTCTCATGCATTCCAGAAAACTTGAAATGTGAGATTAACTAGGATTTAAAGAAATCTGAAATGTAGAAATGGCCAGCTGCCATCGTGTTGTCTCTACAACCCTCGTATTAACTCCTGGTCTTCGCCGACATTTGTTTGACACAGTCTGTCACAAGTTCATTGTCACGTTCTGGGCACACAATTGTTTACATGTAAGTTTGCTACTGTCACTATTACAGAAAATTAAACTCTGAGTTCACGAAACTGATTCAGATGCGAATGCAAAGATACAACATGAACAATGTTAACCTAAATGGTGAACAGGACTTAGGCATGGGTAGGTTGTCTGAATATTCTAGAAAAGGTAATCTTCGAATCTATTTACACAAGCTGATGGGAGGGAAGGCAAGGTGAGGAAGTCTGACATGCACTGTGAGCTGATCTTACTGCACCTGCAGCCCATCTGTCCCTAGTTCTCTGGTGATCGACCGGACGGAAACCACCAAGCAGAGCCCTTCCGGCTCGGCTATCTCTCCCAAACAATGCACGCTCTCATTTCCAGCAAACCAATCTCGTTTTCCTAGACAAGTGCAAAGCAATTCTTAGACTACAAATGTAATTAATGTTGTCACTAAAGGCAGAGAGAAAGCAAAATTACAGAGGCATCATTCAGAGTTTATTCCTTGTGGCAAGAACTGGTAGGAGTCACAAAGCTGAGGATAAATATAGCTGACGGGAAAGCGGAATGAATTATTACTGCCCAACTTTATCAAATGGCAAGGTCTGACAGCATATATCATCAATGGCACACAGGACAGCAAAGCAATCACTGCGATGTGTGTGTCCCAGCCACAGGCCTTCCTCTTCGAGGAGAATGTGTCACTCGTGGGCTATGAATGAATCAGCACTTGGCATCGAGAGCTGCAGACAGGGTAGGACGGCTGTAAAACCCAGTCTTTGGGGAAGACAACGATTTCCTTTGGGGGCCCACGATTACTCTGGGACATCTTGTAGATCAGTGGTTCTCAACCTCCCTAATGCCGTGACCTTTTAATACAGTTCCCCATGTTGTGGTGACCCCCAACCATAACATTATTTTCATTGCTACTTCATAACTGTAATTTTGCTACTGCTATGTCTTAGGTGACCCCTGTGAAAGGGTCATTCGACCCCCAAAGGGGTCGTGACCCACAGGTTGAGAACCGCTGTTGTAGATGGCGACAGGAACAGGGGAGGGGTGAGTACTGGTGACGTCCAGCTACGTGACCAGTGGGCCTTCAGAAGGTGGAGGCAGACCCCTGAGCCCCCGTCTCCCTGCTGCTCGATTCGGGCTGAACAGCTGGTGAACAACAATGTCCGAGGGAGGAGGGCAGACAGCAAGGCTGATGGAGCCAGGGCTCTCACGCCAGGGCCAAAAGGAAGGTTCTTCTTGTTCAAACTTCCATTATGAAAACAAAGCAAGTCACAGGACAGTTCTGTAAAATGAATCCCCATTACCTCCTTTTATAATGGTCAACATGTTGCCATTCTTCTCTGATCTATCTACATCTGTTTTTCTTAATGTTATTATTATTAATTTTTTAATCCTCACCCGAGGATATTTTTCCATTTATTTTCAGACACAGTGGGAGGGAGGGATAGGGAGAGAGCGAAACATCGATGTGAGAGAGACACATCCACTGGTTACCTCCTGCACGACCCTGATCAGGGCTAGGAATCGAACCCCAACTGAGGTACGTGCCCTCGACTGGAATCGAGCCCATGACTCTTTGGTCCATGGGCTGATGCTCTAACTGCTGAGCCCAACTGGCCAGGGCTATTTTTCTTAATATTTTAAAGTAAACATCAGATATCTCCTTCTCGCTATAAATGCTTCTGTACAGTCTAACGGATAAAGACTTATTTCACATAACCACAATGCCATTACCACTTAATAAAAGTAACATACTTAATGTACTTAACACATAGCTTATGCTCAAAACTCAGCTGTCTCAAAACTGTCCTTTTACAACTACTTTAAATCAGGATACTAACCAGGTTCATTCGGTTACAGACCCTGAGCCTCCTTCAACCTCCAACGGTCCTTTCCCCACCTGCCATTTTCATGCCACTTATTGTTGGAGGAATTACACACTCCCTGGGGTGTTCCTGCATCCCTGCATTTCCTGTAAGCTGGTTATAAGACCTAGAGACTCGACCTAATTCAGGGTCGATTATTTTGGAAATAATACTTGGGGCTGGGTACTCCGGATGTCCTGTTGCATCTGGAAGGAGACACTGTCCGTCTGTGCCACATGGATGATGTTAAAATTGATCCCTGGGTTCAGGGGGTGTTAGCCTAATTCATCCATCACAAAGTTCCCACCACATGTTTCCTACTACTGACTGCTGTCCGTCCCCCTCATCGCGGAGCCCCTTGGAGCAACTCGTGGGGACCGAGAGCAGAGGCCAAGGAGGTGCCTCTGTGTGCCAGAACCACGAGGGGCAGACGCACCAGTGAGACGTGGGTCTGCGCTCAGGCAACGGCAAGGGGGGCCCGAGAAGGGGAGAGCTGTGCCACTCCTGGGAGACATGGGGTGGGTGGGTTTCCTAGAGACTACAAATCAGCCCTGGAGACTGAGATAGCATCCAAACGCCAGTGTCCACAGGGCCCTGGAGATTAAGGCCTAGAAAGCAGGTGGCCATCAAGACTGGAGAAGAGAGGTGTGAGATGACCGGAGAATGAAAAACTCCCCAAAGCGCAGGCAAGACTTAGAGAGGCAGAGTCCAAAACTGAGGGTTGCGTAAATCCCAGGCAGAAGTGCTAACATGAGGAAGGATCATGATAATATAAAGCCACAGCTCTCAAAGAAGGACGCAAATTCAAAAGAAAAGGGGTGTCAAGGACATCTGACTGACACAGATCAAGGCCTGGGAACACGTCACTGGGTCACGGATGTCTGTCACTGGTAAAATCTGTTAGGTCCTCTGGCCTGAAGTCAGACTTCAAACTGTCAGACGTCCTTGCTGCATCCCCAGGTACCATGAAGGGTTGCGAATGTTGGCTCCTGCCCGTGTCCAGAACTGCCCGGCAGAGGAAGTTAGGAAATTCAGTTCCTCAGCAGGAAGAAGTGCTTGAAGCGCACTTGCACCAGCTGGTACCACCTGGGTACGCGTCCACTGTGGGAGGGAGGGAGGCTCTGCTGTCCGTCTCCGCACCTCACCCCACGGGGCTGGAGGGTCAGACTGCCAACACTGGCCATGTTCTGGGAAAGAACTAAAACACGATGCACCTTACTACAGCGGAGAAATAAAGCTAAGGAGGAGCCGAGGGGAAGGAAAGGAAGTGAGCCTTCCCCCATTTCTGTACCTTCATTCTTCTCCATGGAGAAGTCCCAGTCAAGACGCAGAGTGAAGTTCAGGATGGCGCCAGGGCTGTGTTCTCCACTGTGAAAACTTCCCAAGGGACCAAACTGGCAGTGGGCATGGGTGTTCAGCTCTTTTCCACCTTCCTCTTCCACTAAAAAGTCTAGTGACAATTCAGCCTAGCCAGGGGCCCGCGCCCAGGGAGAGTCCCAGCCACTCCTTTTTGGTCATTTTGATCTTTCCTCCCCTCCTCTCCTCTGTCTCCACCCAGACCCGTCGGAGGCAGGGCTCCCGGTGTCTAAGTCAGCTCTGCCCACCCCTGGGCCGATGCGCAGCCTGGCGCTGTGTCTCCTGCCTCGCTCCACTGGGGCAGCCAGTGTGCACCTCTGTGAGGGGAGAAGGGAGGCTTCTGCATGGGGGTGTTAAGATCCAACACTGAAGTCTCAACACCGAGGCCAACACACAGGGCAAGACACAGCCAACTGCTTCCAGCCCAGCAGGCGGGCCCGACACAGGAAGGAGGCTATCAGCTGCCGTCCACGCAGACCAGTGGAGGAGGAGGGTTTCTGTGCCCTGCCTGCCGTCATCGCCCTCAGAGATGCTGAGCGGTGGCATCTGAGAGAGCGTGCACTGTTGTCCCCCTGTCCTCTGGTCAAATGCCATCAAAACCACTTCACTACTCCATGCTAATATCTCCAAAAGAATCCAACATCCACTAAGCCAAAGAATCCAATTATTTCATTAACTATAACCAACTCTTCAAAAAAATCCAAGATTTATTTTATATTAATTAGCAGCAAATCTCTAGAAGGAGTCGCCCTCACAAGTTATTTTCAAGTGTTTAATGTGTTAGGAATATTAATGTGCACGAGCTATTCCCAGCCTCGGTCACTGTGTCCTTATTACAGTATTACTTTTCCAAAATCTGTTGGGAATAGAGAGAGAATATGAGAGTACTTTTTA